CAGAAACATGCACACACACGGTTTTATAAATCTGATTTTTTTTCTTTTTTTTGGCGTACGCCATTTTCACCTTTTGGCCGTACGTTCACTTTTAGTATGGTTTCTACACAATCTTTTATAAATCTGACCCCAGAATTGGACACCCCTGGCTTATGAACTTTATAGCAAAATCAAACAGTAAAGCTTTGTTGTTCTCACTTAGAAATAATGGGCCTCATGCAAGAATCGTTCGTACGCACAGATTTGTTCTTAAGTTGTGCGTACGAGTGATTTAGGAGAATTTGTGGCATTCACCAATGTTTTCGTATTCTAHGATTTTTTTCAGATACRAACAAAATTYACGAGTGGTCCAGACCTGTCGTATATTTTACGAGCAGTCAGTCTGCTGTTATCCAGACGGGTTTTATTCACTAATAACTTTATATTTCATTAGTTTGAAGATATTTTGAGTTGAAAATAAATTACACTCCATAATTATGTTGACAATAGCCTATTCTTCTTGAATTAGAGTTATAATTTTAAATGTAATAATTTAGACTAACAATATTAATTGTCCGTCTGTTTTCTGCTGCTTATCCGGGATCGGGTCGTGGGGGCAGCTGCAGAGAGACCCCACTCTCCCCAGCGACACCTTCCAGCTCGTCCTGTGGGACTCCGAGACGTTCCCAGGCCAGAGGGGATATATGATCAAGTCCTGGATTTTCTCCAAAGTGCCAGAAATATTTTGAAAATATTTTAAAAGGCTTATTTCAGAACCACAACTGAGACCGCGGGGTGGGGGTTGTGGGGTGTTACGGTGCGCAGCGCTGCGGCTTCTGAATAAATGAAAATGATTTAACACAGTTGTTTATACTTTTAGCAGCTTTTTATTCCACAGCTGACCTGCTAAAAATGACAGATTTTCTTTTCTGGGTCTCTGACAGACGGACTTCAATCTCTGAACTCGTAAAGTTCTTCTTTTTAGTTTTCGCTGTCATTTTCATGAATGAACACTTCCTGATATCTGAGGCAGGAAACACAGCCTTATATGGTGTTTTTGGGRTGGTAATTATGCTAATCTCCTCTCGCGTGCACAAGCAGCTGGATATGAACAGGTGGAATTTATGCAGCTCATTTACACACTTTTCCTGAAGATAGAAGAGTTTGTTGAATCTGACGTGACATGTTCGTACGAACCCTTTGTACGAACAAAAGTAAGAGAAATTTAGGATAAGAATACGAACATGTTCTTGCATGAGGCCCATTGTGGTGACTAAAATAAATGCTATCTTTCAGCATCCCTGTAATGACTAAAGGTAATTCTATCTGCCTTTTTTATATAAAACCAAATTAAGGCCAACGTTTGTTTCTGAGATAAATGAACAACCTCAGTTGCAAACTCCCTCCTGTTGCTCCAGCTGGCCTCTGCTTGCTCCTCCCTCTGCTGTGTTTTGACTCCCAGATTTTCAGCCTCAGCCTCTTCGCAGCAGGTTGACAGATTATCTTTGGTTCCGAGCCCAAACGGACATTGTCCAAGCCACGATAAACACAGCAGCTATTATTCCTGCTTCCAGTAATCTACCTACTCTTGAGCCAGATGACGTGACGAAGATAACAGCATGGCGGCTCAGAGTGCAGCAAAATGGAGGGTATCAATTGCGCCCTTTTAACAAGCGCCGTCTGATAACGGGACGATATTGCAACTTTGAAGATGGTGTTATTCTTTCTTGACGCTGTACGTCATCTAAGGCTGACATGATGGAAAACGTGTGGAGGAAAAGAGAAGCCTAATGTCCTAATTAAGATTGTGCAGATTTGATGAGGGAGTAGAGAGAAAGGAACTAAAGCCAAGTGTTCATTTTCCTCCATGTCCTCCGTGATGTTCTCTGTTTTCCAACTGTCTCTCTAAGGGAACCAGGGAACAGATTAACACTGTTTGTTTGATCTTAAAATAAATTAATGTATTACTGATTTCTTGGCCAGACACACTAATGTGTATTACAAAATACTTAATTCTACTCTTGTGGCTTGTTGCGTCCAAGTTCATGATGGAAAATGTAAACTTGTTTGCAAGTTGCTGATTGCTCAGTGACAATCTAAAAAAAATTGGCACAGAAATAAAACAGGGAGAACAAATGCAAAAACATTGTTATCTCATTTGTTGCTGGAGTATCTGAGAAACTCAGAAGGATTTTTTTCCAAACACAACATCCTGGCATTTCAAACCCAACAAGACTCTCAGACAGAGGCATGTCCATTCCAAAGACAAAACACCAAAACACAAACTGAGTGGTGTTGTGCCCTTGCCAATTTGGCACCCTTGGCAAGATTGGGATTAATAAAACTACATAAAATCAGTATTTTATGAAGGTAGAACACTGAAAACCAGACTTTAACCTGAACTTTACCTGAGACCATACTGAAACTTACATTGTCCTTATTTTGTTTTACATGTTGAACACCAGTAGGTAGTATGAAAGAGGATTAGGACCACTGAAAAAAATAAAATAATTCTGACTTAAATATCAGAATTCTGACGTTTTCCTAATTCTGAGAAAAAAAAGTCAGAATTATGAGATTAAAGTCAGAGGGTACCTGTGCCAGAGAGGCAATGACAGGAGTGCCACCCCCAGTTCAACAAGTGGTTAATATTTTCATTTCTTTTGTAGTGGTTGTTGTATTTAACAAAAATATAAGTGCATCTAATGTTAAATAATGCTAAATAATGCTAAATACTAAACAGCAAATGTTTTCAAAAATGTTATTTTACAAATATTGCAATCAACTAGAGACCAGATATTTTAAAATGTGCAGCAACTCACTGACCAGCTGGTTGGTTCCAGGCAAAAACATGAATGAGTTAACTTAAAACAATCATTATTTAAGCACATGCGTGAACTTTAGTTAATCGCAGGGCTTTCACTTTTTAAATTTTTATCTACTCCATCTTTATTTAACAGAAATGACCTGAGGACATTTGCCTTTAATTGGCAAATCAAAAGCAATCATGCAAAAAGTAGTATTTTTATCTACCTAACATTAGTTTCTAAATTAGACCATGCTTTTTCGGAGTCATGCCTCATTTTATATCTACAACTCAAAGTCTTAACCACTGTTATGAAGGTAGATGGAGTCTGCAGAAGTGAATATAAAAGTTTGCTGAATGGAGTAAAAAGCTCACAGGCAAACAGATTTGAATCTCGTTACCCACAACTCAAAATCACAGAAGATAATTATGCTTTTTTTTTTTTCAAAAACTTTGGACATTCATTCTACGGAATTTTAAAATTGCAAGGTCTGTCCACATGAAAAGGTAGAACAGTGTCACTTTTTTCTGTGCGCAAACTCTTGCAGGTGTTGATTACAGTAGAACAAAACAAAGTCAGGGTTAGATTCCCCACAGGCTGTTTTCAGTGAATCTTTAAGGCAGACAGCAGACAAAAATGAGCCAAGTTCTTCCACACATTGTTAATTGAGTTCCAGATGCAAATTGTGTTTGATAACTGGAAATACACATAGAACCTGAACTTATTTCCAAACTGTTCTCGCAGCTTGACACACAGCACAAATATCTATAATGCTGAGATACACCAAAAAGACACAGTTTGTATTTGAGGATTGGCCTCTTTCAGGAGCTTTCTGGGTGTTTGACACAAATGCAACAGAGGAACAAAACTGAACAGGCTTCTGCAAATAAACAAAAAGGTGTTTCTGTAGTTGGATTAAGCATGCATCATCTTAAGTGACTCTTGCATTAATCAGTCATGCACTCAAACCCCCACATATTTCAGTGAAGACATGCAGCTCAACAGTCTGTGCCACACTCTCAAACAGTACAAAAGCCTCCAGAGATGTACAGCGACATGACCACCGTCAGTTACCTGCCTTCCATACAGATCTACGTGTGAACCTTTACACTTCTGAGTAACCTGAGTCCCATGCTGTCTTCAGCATTAATGTGCTCACAGTTGATGTGGGTTTTAGTTATTCAGGTTAATGCGTTGCCTGTGGGGCATATTTCCATTTTGACCACACACACACACACACACACACACGCACGCACGCACGCACGCACGCACGCACGCACGCACGCACGCACGCACGCACGCACGCACGCACACACACACACACACACACACCTTTCCCAAACTGCTGAGCTGTCAATGTTCACTCACACTGATGTCTTTGGTATAAATGCAGCCACACTGCTGGAGAAACCTAATGACCTTCAAAACCATGCGTCACACTGTAGTAGCCATTGTCTGATTCCTGCTTAAAGCATTAGTAGAACACACTGATAAAACTTTATTTCTTGGATTTTAGGTTAGAATGACTGAAATACATATTTAAAAAAAGAGAAAAGTTTACTGACGTCGTGGACATTGTATGTATCTGAATGTTGCCAAGTTTCTTGATCTGCTTTAAAGGTATAAAAACTGCTCTTTGGGCCATTTTTCACACAACTCCAACTAAAACCAACGGCTTGGAAATCATGGACACTTTGTCCAGATCCAAGACACAAACTGTCTCAGAAAATTGATTTGGTTTGTCAAGAACAGAACCACAGACAAACCAAAGGACCAGGCACAGTAATACTAAGAACTGAAAAGGAAAATAAAATTCTTTGAAAGGAAGTTTTATGGTTTGAACAAAGAGATTTATGGAGATGGAGATGTAAAGATGAATCATTGAGTCAAAAGAACAATTCAGTGTTAATCATTATGGTGGTAGGATCTTGTTTTTTTATTTTTTCATACCAGTGAATCTTGCACACTACATAAAGTAGGACCTCAAAATAATTAGCTAATTATTCAAAACTTACACACAATTCTGTTGTTTCAAACTTGTATAAAAGCTGGATGATTTTACTGGTCTAAGCCAGAATTATTTTACTTTAACTGCACGTACTTCGAAACAGTGTCAAGTTTAGGTGCAACTTGCAAATGGACACTCATATATATAAAACAGTGAAGTTTCTCACAAGAGCTGTAAAACTAGATATCTAATGGTGGATTGGGTACCTGCAAGTGAGTGTTTCATGGTAGGGTTTAATGCTGGCGCTGCGGTCCCTTCGAACAGGCCCGGGCTCGATAGTGGGCAGTCCTGTGGCGGAGGTGGTGGTGGTCCACGTGGAAGAAATCCTCCTCAGAGGATGGAGACTCCGCCTCAGACGCTGCTCTCACACACAAACATTCAGAGGACATGCAGAAGCACAGTGAACACCATTACAAAGCCGTCCCATAATTTCATTAATCAAATAGGCATGCAGTTGCTTAAGAAGTACAAAAGTGTGACATTAATTAATTTTTTCTTTCTTTTTTTTTTTTTTTTTTTGGGGGGGGGGGATGTCTGTGTAACTTGACATGTATGGGTGAGTTCACAAGTTTGACAACTAGAGCCGATTTCAGCAGTTTGGATGGAGTTCAGATGCCTTAAGGTTGCTTTGTCTCCAGGCAAATTCATCAACTAAAATGCAATGTGTTTTTAACACATAAAAAAATAAATGAAATAAAATACAGCGGTCATTAAGGAACATAGAATTTTGTGGCAGTTGTGTGAACATTGCTCCTTATGCTACATTACTCGATGAAGCGGCAGCATTGCATTGCACAGTATTTAATTTCATCATATGGATTGTGCCTATCTGCTTCTCGTTATTTCTGTAAATTCCTTTTGTGACGTTCGCTCTCTTTCAGTATCTGTCTTGCCCTTCACTTGGATTCCCAGTGGCCTGCGCTCACGGGCCCCCACCATCTGTTTGGTGCCATGCAGCAGTCTGGCACAGCAGCACTGAACATAGCTGGCTCTTCTTCTCCTCAGTCCTCTGCAGAGTGACCTACTAATGACTGCCTCAGAATCTTGAATGAACCCATTCACAAAATTGCATCATTTGCAGAGAGCTGGCAAACAAACACACACATTCTGATGCAAGGTGTAGGTTTTTGTCATTTTAGGCAACAATCAGTAAATTAAGTTCATTTTGATGGTTTGTGCACACAAACATACACATGTCAAAAACAACTGTTTGAACAACGTTTTATGTGATGAATTACAGCCAGTTAGACATCAATAAGCATTTTATTTCTGTCTTCTTTGTGTATTTTTTAGAGTTTTGTTGTGAAAACAAATGCAAATGGTAGCTACAACACAAATGCACAACAGCACACTAAAACTAAACCATCTTTACACCCCCAATAACGATATAATAAAGATGCTCAGTGATGCTTTTCATGGTTCTATAAATAGACTTATAAGTTCAAGTGCAATCAGTGTACATTTAAACATCTCCCTTGATGTTATGTTTATTGCAATTTACTATATATATATGTATGNTATATATATACATGGCTTATTTTTTTACTATTATTGAAAATTGACTTTGTATGTTCATGGATGTGGATGCACTCAGAAAATGTGCCGTAAGGGCTCATTTTCATCTGTACTTGCATCCAGGTTAATGAATAAGTTGAAATAAAGTGCACACATTTAGACATCAACACAATAAAAAGATACACAGAGGTTAATAATGGTCACAGGTTTGATGTTCCTTCAGATAATTGGTTGTAGTTTAATCAGTGGAAATGGACTTTAATGTCACAGTCTTAGTATTTTGTTTTTGTTTATTTCTCCTGATTTTGAGTTCTGTAAATCCCTGTTTTTCAGTTTACAGTATGTATTTTCTGTGATTCTGTTTTGTTTTTTTTGGGTCCTCCCACAGTACAGCATTGCATTAAAGTCAAACCGTTACAATATTTACAGTCTTTGACAGCACAGCTCATCTACAAGTTTGGTGTATTTTTTCTGCAAAATATATCTATTCAGCTGGTGGCCAATTTCAGGTCTTTTAAATAAAAGTTTAGTTAACAAGAGGACGTCACTATCCTGTGACAGATGTCAAGGCTACCCGATGCTAGCTGCTGCAAGCATTAGGGGTTGCTATTGTCTCAGGCTGATGATGTCATAACAAGAGCTGAGTGCCAATGGCAAAAGATGAGTTCCATTTAAAAATACGTAAATATAAACTTAAAATTTTAACTACAACATTTAACTTTTATAATTAGATTTCAGATTTAATATTTACACAGAACAGTGGGCTAAATATCAACAAAATGTTAGTGGAAATTGAGAATTTTATTAAGTATTTACTATTTTATATGAGAAGACTCAAACAGACAAATTTCATATTCAAAAATTAAAAGTTTTTAAGGTAAAATTTGACAAAGCTGGTGACATTTTTATACAACTTTAAAGACAACTGTGAAGTCCTAAAATGTCTGTAAGTTACTAACAAGCTCTACGTAAAAAAAGGTAAATGACACCGCTGAGTTTTATTGAACAATCAAAAACCTTAGACATTGCTGCAGTTATTACTTTGCACCAGACGCTGACAAAACAAGTTTTAAGAAGTGTGTGAAAGGAATCGTCTTGTACCTCAACTGGATGCAAAACAGTCTAAAAGGCAGAAAAGTCATTTTCCCTCTGAAGTAATTTTCTTTTTTCCCCCCTACATTTAGAGCTGGGCGCTCATAATGAGGAACACCATAATGACTGCAGTTTTACTTTCCATTCCATAATGACATCTGCCAAACAAGAGATTTGTTGGATGGCCGTGTTAAACACTGACCTCAAACCAGCCACCAAATCAACCAGAATGGGTAACTTCAGTAAAAAAAAAAAGAGCCAAATATACAGTAAGTGTAGTGGGAGTCCAGTTTTGTTGACACACTCATGCCTCTTTATAGCTTCTTGAAAAATGTATCCAGCTGTGTGTTGCCTCTCTTACGCTACTCCTTCTCTACATACACACATTCACACACACTGTCTGGTTCGGCACATCTGTCATGTTGACACAGCTGTGGCTATGAAAGGGAGAACCATGCTCCGAGCAGGAGACATGCTCTATTTTTTTTTTCACTCAACTCTTTAAGAAAAACGTTCTTTCATTTGATGTTAGAAGCTCGTAGGAACCTCATGTTTGCTGAAACACGGGCTGAAAGATTAACACCCACGGGGAGTATTACATGGTATGTTTGACCTTTAATAAAATGGATGACATGACCATTTAGGGATTATTTCAACTAATTCCAAGTAAAACCGTTTTGTGTCTGGCTTTTAAGTACTTTGATTAACAATTCAGAGCTTTGATATTTTATGCTCACTTCTATGAAGCGTTCCCAGAACTGCACATCTTCTGGGTAAAGCATAAATCAGGACAATGCATACGCTCTCCTACCTTATGTATGGATGTCTTCCCTTCTTTCTCAGGTCCCTCCTCTGAGTCGGAGCAGGTGTAAGCATCACTGGGGTTAATCAGTGGTGCAGGGCGTGGTCGGTGCAGAGGTTGGAAGGTGAGCTGGGTTGTTAGCAGACTGCTGACAGCCCGCAGGGATGTGCAGGTGTGGGCAGGTAACGAAGGGTCAGCCAGCAGGTCGGTGATCAGTCCGTGGGCCTCTCCCATCACCGCAATGTCCACCACAACAGTCGTTCCTGATGACTACATGTTGAAAAAGAGACAGAGGTGAGGAATAAATATCTTTGCTGCAAGCTGTAGGAGTTGGTGCTGATTAAAGGTCTGAGAGCGGCTGCATGCTGCTGGTTGGAGGCAGCTGGGAAGAGCAGGTGTGGAAACTATGTCACCAGTTCCCCTTTGACGTCATCATGTGGTTAAATGTGACACTGGCCAGACATTCGTTCTATAAAGCTGGCACCCAAACTAAAGTGTGCAACTGTGGCTCTAAATTACACAGGTTGGCAGTTCTGGCCCCAAATTCTATTGTGCCAAAGTGTCCTGAGCAGCACAACGAGATTCAAGATTTCATTTATTGTCATTTCCCAGTTTTTCACCAGCTATGCAATACCTTTAAATATACACATATATTTATACACATTAATACATATACTCAAATACATAAACACACTAAACAAGGCTAATGAACACACCGTATAAAGCAGGGATATTAAACTGGCGGTCCACAGGCCACATCCGGCCCACGAGTGACCAAAGTTCGGCCCACCAATTGGTTCATTCATTTCTTAAGCCCAAACCCCCAGTTTTTGACTTTAATTACTCTAAGTTCTTTTAGCTAGACATAGACATGTTTCATGTCTACAGAAACGTCAGAATCTTGGCTTCAAGCTGGAATAAACCATTTCTATGCACACTCAAGACAGTTAAAACTACAAGCAATTGAAGATAGAACTATGAAAGTGGAAATAAAATTGGTTAAAAAATTTGGCAAGTCAGAGATGTCAAAATAATATTTGTGTCAAATAGGAGGCAGAATGTGTTCATTTTTTTCTTGATATTGTTGAATTATGACTACTTTTATAGGGTTCGGTATGTTGTATTCATGATTAAATGCAGCAAAATAAATTAATTCAAAGATAACAGATCTTTGTAATACTTGGTTTATTTACAAAATAACTTTATTTGTTGGATGTTCGGCCCCTCAGCTGTTGACCTGCAGTAACTGTGGCCCCCAGAGCAGTTTGGTTAAATAGCCCTGGTATAAAGGTTTAAGAATATTTACAATTAAAAATACACTTATTTGTCAGTTCTGTCACATATTTTGTGATGTAATAGTTTATAAAGCATAATAGAAAACAGAGAAAACTGAACAGGTTGAAAAAAATGACCCAAGCACAAAATAAAAAAAAATATCTATGCAGCACTGAGTGAGAGTACATTCAAATTTTCTGGACTCCTAGAGTCTCCTGATAAACAAAAAACTGTATTTAACAGCTGAAAAAGTGGATTTTGCATATGTCCCCTTTAAAAGTGTGTTCCATATATGGCATTAAAGTAAACAAAAGATAAGTAATTTAAAAAAAGAAAAATGAGGAAAAAAACTAGTGAGGAACGCAAATATGTTGTGTCCTAATGTGACATTACAAAGTTTTGTAAAATGTTTTATAGCTGCAGGATCACACAAAGCTATAGACATGTAGTGTACATATCCACTTCAAAGCTTCATTTTATACCATATATGGATTTTTCCCTATGCACAGAAGCAGAACTTTAAACCAACAAAAAAATAATAGAAAGTAATATTTCACAGAAGCAGCCCATAAATATCCATATACAGTATGTCAAGTTGTACAGATTGTCTGTAATTTACACAGATTTTTCCTCATTTTACAGGTATACGGCCGTATAGAGTAATCTCACGGATTTTTTCAAGTTTTACAAAGTTTTTCAAGAACTCAGTTTCAAATTTGTTTAACATCTCAGAGCTTGTAGGACATTAAAAAACAACAACAAATAATATGAAATAACCATCTTCCAACCCACACTGCTGCTAGAAATAAGTCACCTGTCCTCATTTCCTCCTGCAACCCTGCAGGTGCAGTCATCCAAGGGCGTAATCACCATCTTAAAAGTGGGGGGACACATTTTTTAAAGGTCTTTTTTTCTGCTTCGGCTGAAAAAAGTGTGTGTGTGTGTGTGTGTGTTGGGGNGGGGGGTACAGAGGGCACAGATATTGGAAGTGGGGGGGACATGTCCCACCCCGTACCTATGGTGGTTATGCATCGCTCGCGTCCGCCAACAATCTGCCTGTGCAAACCCTCCCCACAGCATGTGTTATTAATACGGATTTTTGAGGCTGAAGGTATGTATGAACATCTGTACAATACATTTAGACTAATGCATGTTGTACAATAATGGACTGATTAACATCTATTCTTTGACTTTATTCTCCATTTGAACACATTATCATGGTGTGAGCCCTCCTTGTTTCAACAAGACAAAAAAGTTCACAACCCTTTATTACTTAGTGCAGTTGAACAACTACAGCTAAGTTCAGGCCAGTCTTGTCTGTCAGTTTATTTATTCTAATGAAACCACAAAGTTCCACTTGTACCCTAAAAGAATGTTATCAGGTTTTTCTTCTCAAACATTTCATTCACTTTCACCCCAGCTGCCAGACACCCAGAAATGTCATATTTACTCTGGCTACGTAGAAAGTAGTTCACCTCAACGTCACAAGTTTGAACTCACTTACATTGTGAGAATGAAAAAGTATTTTCCATTTCATTTTTTGAACAATTAAGCCAGTTATATTGTTTTGTGCAAAATTTACAAGTGGTCAGCTAAAACACAATGTTATACCTTTGACATTGACAAATCTGTTCTATTAATGTGTCTAACTTAGCAGGAGTCAGTTATCTCTTTGAAACTTCAAAAAATGTCCAGAAGATGGATAATTTGTGAAGATCAATAAAGTGAGGGCTATTGTGCAAAAATCAACTTTTTGGGGCATTATATCATGTTTTAATGTTATTCCCTCATCAAAAACATACCCAGAGTGTTACTTCAACTCAAAGCACTGCCTATTGTACAAAGCTCCTCCCTGAAGCTCCATCCGCAGCCAAGCTCCTGCCCCACAGAGCACCCCACCCCAGCTCCTCCACCAGACCAGACTATTTCTCAGCAGGGGTGGACTGGGCCATTGGGAGTACTTTTTTACGGTGGGCCGGTGCATCACTGGCAAATCATTATCCTTTGATATCAAAACCTACAAGAATCACTACTCATAGTGCCACAATAATCGATAATATTTTCACAAATATAACAAAAAGAGAGATAATGGGTGGTATTTTAATTACTGATGTAAGTGATCATCTACCAGTGTTTATACTTTATAAAAATGTTCAAAACAACACAATAGTAGACACAATTACTAAAAAAAATAATTGACACATCAAAAAAAGGCTATGGATAATTTAAAGGATGATTTGAGAAGACAAGACTGGAAACAGGTGTGTGTTAGCGATGTGAACAATGCATATGATGCTTTCATGAATATATTAGGATGTTTGTATGAAAAAAATTGTGTGAAAAAATTACACAAAGAAAGATGATAAACCATGGATGACCAAAGGGCTGAAAAATGCTTGTAAAAAAAGAACTACTTGTCCTCATGCTTCTTGAGACTAAGAATAAAAGAATCAAAAGAAAGATTTAAGAAAAACAAAAACAAGTTGGTTTGGATTATATGAAAGCACAAGAAGGAGTATTATAGTAAGTTATTAGACAAAAATAATGGTGATACAAGAGCAACATGGCAAACAATGAATAGTGTTTTGAAAAATCATGAAGTAAAATCAGGTACTCCACAGTATTTTGTTAAAGATGGCATTGAAATTCATGATCAAAATGAAATTGCAAATGGATTCAATCATTACTTTGTGAATGTTGGCCCAAGTCTTGCATCTAAAATACCTAAAGTAGACAGAAATGTTAACCACACTGTTACTGGTAGTGTAAAGAGTTTATTTTTTTATGAAACTGATAAAGAAGAAAGAACAAATATTGTGAAGAATCTTGCAGATAAGAGATTAAAAGACTGGGTTGACATGGACATGATGTTTGTAAAAGATATAATGAACTCTGTGATTGAACCATACATCTGTAATTTATCATTTTCAACGGCATATTTCCAAACAACATGAAAATAGCAAAGGAAATTCCTCTTTTAAAAAAACATGTGTTTAACAACTACAGACCAATATCCCTGCTACCACAAATTTCATTTTAGAGAAATTATTTGTGATTAGATTGGACAAATTCATTGCTAGGCAGTATATACTGTATTAAGTAACAGTCAGTATGGGTTTAGACCAAAAAAATCTACATCGATGGCTCATTGAATTAATAGAACATATAACAACTGCTTTTGATCAAAAACAGTACTGTGTCAGTATTTTTGTTGATTTAAAAAAGTGTTTGATACTATTAAGCATAGTATTCCTTTTGAAAAGTTAAATAAATATGGTATTAGAGGACCTGCATTACAGTGGGTATCTAGTTATTTGGAAAACAGAAAAAAAATTGTAGAAATAAATTATGTAAGATCTGAGTTTTGTAACATCTCATGTGGAGTGCTTCAGGGTTCCATTCTTGGACCTAAGTTGTTTATTTTGTATGTGAACGATTAGGTAAATGTATCAGATCTTTTTGGGTGTGTTCTTTTTGCTGATGATACAACCTTCTTTTGTTCCGGTAATGATATCGAACAAATGTTGGACATGGTACAGACAGAATTTATGAAAATCCAAAGCTGGTTTCAACTTAATATATTATCATTAAACTTGGATAAGACAAATTATATGATTTTCTGTAACAATAAGAGAACTATAGATGTTTTATTTAAAGTTGATGATGTTGAGATCTGTAGTGTCAGTGAAGTGAAGTTTCTAGGTGTCATTATTGATGAAAAACTGACATGGAAAAATCATATAAATTGTTTAAGAACAAAACTAGCCAAATCAATTGGAGTACTGTACAAAGTAAGAGAATTGTTCAATGATAAAGCACTGTTTGTGTTGTATAACGCTATAATTGTTCCACATTTAATTTATTGTTTTAGTATGGGGTAAAGCTTGTAAAACTATCACAAATCCTATTTTATTTTACAGAAAAGAGCTGTAAGAATTATTACTAGAAAAAATACAGCCATCCATTGAATATGTTGTTTCACAATTTGAAATTAT